AGAAAGGAGCCTGCGCAACTTGTTTGTCGGGGTCAAGTATCATGTCATTAGATCATCATTAATCATACATCAAATTCTGGTGAGGGATACATTATCTCCCTCTAAAATAATTATTTTCCACCTTTCCCTCTACCTCTGCCTCTGCCGCCGCCTCTGCCACGTCTTCCACCCCTCTTGTTGCCTCGCGAATTGCCCTCATCGAACCTTTCGTACAACTTTTCTTCCCCGAATGCACAATCTCCCATCCTTAGATAGCTAATTATTCCCTGATCATTGACTGCCAAGATAACATTCCTATATCCATGTCTGATCCTATGATACATTTTATTTGGGCCTTCCATGGTTTTTCCTGGTGGATCCCACGGTGAGCTTTCGAATAATGACACCACCTCCGGTAATGTAGGTACGAAAGTTTCTCTCGCGTCCACGATGGCTATGCGGAAATCTGGAAGGCCTGGGTTGGTTTTCGCAAATGTAGGAATACTACTAGGTTTCCAGATGTGGAAACAAACACGGAATGGGTGAGATGGAGGTTGTGACGATATGTCTGGTAGTGGAGAAGGTTTATAGCGGGGTATTATGGCCATTTGGCGATAGATAGAGTCGTAAGATCTATATAAGCCTGGTTTGACAAGTGGACCATATGGGGAATGTGTGATGTCTTTGGCGAAAAGGTCATAAAGCCAAGTGAACATGCCCTTTGACTCTCCAGGTATGGGTCCTTGCTCAAAGGGTTTGGTGAGAACGTTTGGGTCCCAATCTGGACCTCTCATGACGACATATCCATTTCTTTTCAGATTGGCATAGACATTGTATCTTTCCAAACTGATTTTTCCTCTCTCGCCATCCAGACCAATAAGCATAGCATACGCAGCTTGTAAACTCATTGGTGCGCCGTCATCTTCATTTTCCGATTGTCCTGTCTTCTCACTTTCTCCGTCTTCAACTCCATTGTAAGAAGATTTGTTCGGCCACCACAAATCCAAATTTCCCCGCTCAACCAAATACAATGCTTCCTCAGGTAATAACCACAAACTGCTCTTATGTTTCCCTTCGTTTGCCCTGCCAATTGTTCTGAAATGTGGCCCTCTAGGTCCTTCCACTACCACAACATGATCTGGCCCTAAGCCTTTCCTCCATTCCTCTCCCACCAGTTCATCTCTCTCCAGTTCCTTTCCTACTCCCTCCCCGTAGTAAAAAGCCCTTACGTGCGCTTTTGGGAGATGAAATCTTGTATAATCCAATGCATCATGCATTGCTTGCCTCGATGCAGCTAATACACCATCTTGTTGTTGTGTACCGTGAGGTTCGAAATCTTTCTCTCCACGTTTAGGAAGTGAGCCTGTCTTTGAGCTTAGGGATGCGAGAAGTCGGAAATCTTGGGTCTCGTCACCTTCTTCGTTATCATCATTTGGTTGATTATGAAGGGAATTGATGGGCGCGTCTTCGTCCATATCTGCCATTTCGTCGAGTGAGGATTGTTCTTGTTATGGTTTACTCTTGCAGTGGTTCGCTGTTTGAGGAGCTGGTGGGATGGTATAGTTGTGGGTAAATTTTATTTTCAGCCTTGCAGAAAGGCTTAATCAATTCCGTCAAAATTCCGATCGGTGGTCCATGCACAAAATCTGGTGACCAACAGGATCCATAAAATATTGAAAATTACGTTAAAAATTTATTTGATGAGATTTCACGCTGCTTACAGCTGATTCGTGTATGTGTCATGAGGATAATAGAGTTGATTGCACTATCGTCACCATCAAATAACAAAGGAGGTTTGGCCGAGTGGTTAAGGCGTTGTGTTTAGGTGCTTCGAAAGAAGATCAAAACCTCATTCCCGCAATTCGAAAGAGCGAGGGTTCGAATCCCTCAGCCTTCATTACATTTTTGCTTTTGTTATACTTTTAGAATCATTCAATTCCATTGAGAATTGGTTCAGAAACGATCAGTTGAAAATTTTGATAATCCAATTTGGTGGGGTTGGGGAACAAACAGAGAAGCGAGCTGAAAGGGGGCTCGTGCTTTTGCTGCTTTTAGCGTTTCAGAAATCAGAAGGAAACGAGACCCCCTCTAAAAAATGATGAAAGGCTGAGGGATTCTCCCCTTCGATCTTTTAAATTGCGGGAATGAGGTTTTGATCTTCTTTCGAAGCACCTAAACACAACGCCCAAATTTTTCTTAAGGGCTGCGCTCTTAAGAAAAATTAATATCTTACTCAATCCAAGCTTAAAATGCATCCAGTCCATTCACACGTGTATGTCATCTCAGTGCGTGTCAGTAATTTTTATTCAGGAAGCAATTGTCATTTGTTTGTTTAGTCAATTCATACGTTGTAGATTTATTACTTTTCAATAAGGTTCCGGCCCGATCATTAGTGTGTGAACAAGAGTATTCACTTCAAAGGAATGACTTCAATACAATGGCTACTGTATCAAAGGGATTAAGCGAATGCGAAAGAGACTAGCTCTTTCAGTAGTGCCTATATAAGGCCTACTACTTTCCTACATAGCTAGCTCTTTAGATAGAATACAATTAGACATACAGGACCTACAATACGTGGGTGCTACGTCTTCCGTATCCTTCTCGAACCAACAATTAGATCTAACTGTATTATTAGTATTTAAAGAAAGGCATTAACGTGATTCATCACCAAATGGATCACTCAGTTTACATACAAAATTCGTTTGTGTATAACTGTGCATTTTTTTTATTTATTAATATAATTTAATTTTTTTCTCTAAAAATTATAATTATCTATATAAATAATATAAATTTCTAATCAATCATTAGAAATTAGATTTTATATAATAGTTATTATAAAAATAGTGTTTTTATAACAAAAACCATAACAATTTCAATTGTTTTTAGAATATAATCAAAATATTTATAATTTTTGATTATATAAATTTTTCTTATTTTTAAATATTATTTCTTTTTCAAAAAATATTGATTAATTATTGAAATATGAATATTAAGAAAAGGTTAATTTTGATGCGATTTTGAAGTGATTCATTTAGTGATATGATCTACTTGGTAATGAATCGCGTTATTCATTCAGTGTTTATTATATATGTATATACTCCGTGGATGAGTGATGTCTTTCTTAACAATCCAAGTATAGACTCATTATCATCTCGAAGGAATGAAATATCATTTACGGTGATATTCAAGTATCATTTCCTCGACTATCTCTCAATACGAACCTTGATATATAATATGAATTGAAATGTTACTAGCAATTAGAATAATCATGTCAATTAGAATACTCATAGTAACTAGATTAATCATATTAACTGGAACAATCATAGCAATTCAGATATTCATGTTGATTGAACTAATGATATCACTTGGAACAATTATATTGTTTGGGACATTTGTATTAACTGAGATAATGTCATGAATTGAGACAATCACAGAGTTACAAAAGGAGAATAAAAGAGAGAAAATCGTAGAGAGTTTCCTTTCATATCTATATTCTTACTCCCACTCTTAGATATAAGAGCTTTAACACAACGCGTACAAAGCGCGTTCTCAATAGCCTCTATTGATCTCATAATAACTCGTATGTAGTCAGAGTCAGCGTTTCCGATAACAGTCTACAAACTGCAATTCATTTTCAGACACTCTATCTACTCATAGGATTATAAAGATACAATTATCGATTTCAAGAGTCCATTATTCTAAATTCATTCGATTACTGAAACTATTACAATCTTCAAGCCAATTCGAATGTATAAACAGAGTTGAATATTTCAAGATTCTTATTTGTTGGACTACAATTCGGACCATTAGATATTTTGTCTAGGGTTATCTGTTTTTGAAGCGAGTTGGGAATGACGAAAGAGAGTTTTGTTTCGGTTAGATTCAGGCTAGGGGATCAGATTCGTAGATGTAGATTTAGATCAGTTTAGAATCAAGCTCAAGTCTACGACTTAAGAAAAACAAAACTATGTTTGAATGAAGACGAATAATGTATCTAATTGATATGAAATGAATATTGAAATGGTTCAAAGCGTGTTGAAGTCAATTTAATGAAGAAGACATTTTCATCAAGGTGTTCACTATCTTCCATTCCATTTATTTCTCAGCCCTAATTATCATTCCTATCAAAGTATATACTCAACGATAGACTGATATTCTTATTCTCTATCAAGAACATCTATATAAATCACTTCCGCTTTTCTAACTCTCTCGCTTTCACCCTCCAACCTCAATTCATCATACCACCCTATCATCACAACCACCAAGTAACAACAAAACATAGAGCCCTCTATTCAAGTTTCCAAACATCTGTGCATCACTTGCCTATAAACAAAGCATATTACTCTCCACCACACCAAAGTATCTCCTAAGACGAAAACATAAGAGAAACCGCCCCCTCACTTATTTACTTGAAAACCACTCTTTGCTTCCAAATTCAAGTTAGTGTGTACCTACTGAAGACTACTTACTATTATAATTCAAATCATACTAGCTGATTAGTGTATAGGTATTTCAATTTCACACAAGCGAATCTCTATCTCTCTTTCTCTCCGACTATCAACTATATGATTTATACGTATTCCTAAAAGTAGGTTTTCGATATAGGTATAGAGGGGTTTTTTAGAATTCTATAGACTGGGGATTCTTGTCTTAAATTTGGATGATGGTAGAGTAATGAAGGTCAGTGTAGTGATTGATTTGAATACATGATTTGGATTGAGTTTAGGGGTTTATCTGAATATATCTGCAATATACGTAAAATTAAGAGGAATGTTCATCTTACTTACAATGTTTGAGCTAATGAAAAGCCAGTTGAATGAAACGAAAAATGAGAGGATACGTATTGGTGATGGATCTAAGCTTAATATACATATAATAAGAAACTGAAAAACAGTAGGTATTTGAAGAATGCACTACAAAGAGCAAGAAATTTCCAATTTTTGTTATAGTACATCTCCAAATCATTCCACACCCCTCTGTACTTTCAAGTTATGCAAACAACAAGCATAAACAAACCATCCCTAAGAAATTTCCCCTCCACCATCACTCCACTCATACTCTACCAAACTTTCATCTCCCTTTAAAAAGATACCTCCCAACCACCCCGCCACCCCCGTCCAAGACACAAAACCCAGAGCTCCATACAAAATCGCAATTCCCCACTCCGTCTGAGGATTCAATATCCCGGGAGCCCCTGGAGGAAGTTTCTGTACCCCTTCCACAAATGGTCTCATCTTCTCTTCATATTTTCTCAATCCTTCTTCCCAATCTCCCTTGCAAGCTCCTAGTTCTCCCGCAAGATAATACGCACCTAGAATAGCCGAACTGGTGCCCATTCCTGAAATAGGAGAGGGACAATATCCCGCATCTCCCACTAGGGCAACTTTCCCTTTGTAAAACTGAGGAGGATTCACTTGCGCGATTTCTTGCATATAGTAATCCGGTGCTTTATCCATTCCATCCAAAACTCTCTCAATCTCCCATCCCATATCAGACATTTCTTCTCTCCACGCACGTTTTTGTTCTTCGGGTGTCATTTCCAGATATTTGACTAACTTGCATGTTTTGTTGGGATCCGTAATACTGAGATATACCCGTGTGGTACTACTCTCATGTATATTATCCGGCCGCATTAATATCAAACGTCCACGAGAAGAATTATACCACTTACCCCATGCATCATCATGGGGTTGTTTGGGGATGGTGAAATATGTTGTATATTGATACAATGATTTCAAACCATCGTTTGGAAGGGGGATAGCAAGACGTCTAGTCTTCGAACGCATTCCATCTGCTCCCACAACCAAATCGAAAATTCTCTGTTCACCTTTGGCAAAAGTAACAAGGACTCCCTCTTCTATCTCTTCAAGTTTCGTAACATGATCGTCCCAAATATACTCACACGTTTCCTTTGTACTATTATAGAAAATCTCGGCCAAATCTCCCCGAAGGATCTCGATATCACTCGTAAAGGAATTTCCATTTTCCTCTACGGGAAAAGTTGCTTTGGGAGTACCGTTTTTGTCAACAAATTGAAGGCCAATTTCATGGGTCACTTTGGAGCGAATAGTGGATTCGAGACCCATACGTGATATGACTGTACGAGCGGGGCCCCGAATATCAATTCCTTGGCCGGCGGAACGAAGAGAAGGAGATCGTTCGATAATGGTGGTGGTTATGGAGGCGCGGTTGAGCCAGTAAGCGAGAACTGGACCGGCGATGCTGGCGCCCGAAATAAGGATGTGGGGTTTTCGGGTCGAGGTGGTGGGTTTGGTGGACATTTTCGGAGGAGAGGGTGGAGAAGGGGTTGTTGATAAGTGGGTAGTGCGGGACTGGGTCTGGGCCTGAGGAATCTGAGTTGAGTATACACTGATTGCACTGTAGAATGATATACTAATAAGTACGTAGTCGTTGCGTGCTATTCAAAGTTTATAACTGATGTATGATCGCCCCCCTAGGCACTCGAATATGCGATGAATTGCAGAATCTCGACGACGTTGTATCGAGATATGAAATATAAGCCGTGTTACACCTATATAAATAGTGATGTCATAGATAGACCCATTCCAAAATCCGATAAATCAATTCGAAAGACGAAATTCAAGAATCTGAGAAGTTGAAAATGATATGTGAAGTGGAAGTAAATAAAAAACTCCAAAGCATGATATTGTATGATATATACAACAATCGTACGGTACAAGACAAGTCCTCGACGGGATTTTGTAATCCCCGCATTGGCAAAAACCAGCAGCCGAATTAACATCTGAATGTCCGCGATCGATTGACACTAAAGCGCTTTTTATCCCTGAAATACACGAGATTTGTGATGCTAAAGTGATCGATACACCAGGCACTTTTCACTGGGTAAAAGATTTTGGATATGATATAACCGGAAAACTTTACGAATTGTCAAACTCTTGTGATTTCGAGGCTCATTTATATATACTAGGTAGGCTATCAGAAGATTCTGGGGAATGGAGTTCCTTATACTTGATGTACACGGAGTAGGCGACTTTGATTTCTTTCGCGAGCGGGGGCTAGGTAGGTTCGGGGTAAGAATGAAACTTAACGAGGGAGGCGAGACGCATTACGAAGCCAGAGAGGAGAGTATCTATCAAGCTCAGAATACACAGCACGAACATTATAATCTCACATCACATTAAGAGGCAACCCGACGCCCAATCTTGCAAATATTATATTATACTGCACATGTCCCAGATACCCTATCTCATTGTGAAAGCAAATATTCCGATATATTACAATCCTTCCGCTCAAAATCCAATAATGAAAATATACCATACCGCTGCACTATCCGACAGAGGACGATTGTCAATCTTTCAATAAATGAGCGTGTGCAGCCATACCAGTACCCCCTGACACCTGTTGACCTGAGATAGATGCAAGCATGAAGGAAATGAACTCCACTACGACGCCAACGCAATGAAAATAATACCCATAAGCTCTCCTACTCGTGATCGTACATCGTTAATTTACTTCTCAATTTCCTGCCTTAGGCAAGATACCTCCTATGCCTGCGATCAAGTAGCACTAAACCTCTTGGTTTTGACGTCTCCACTGGGTCGCTTCTTCAATGCAATAAATGTCTTAACCCTTCTCAATCTCGTCATCAAGTCCTTATCCTTTGCATCCCTAATACTCTTCGCATCCTCTTCATCTGCGAAATCAGGTGCTAAATCATTACCATTTTCATCGATACTCTCGGTCGTTGCAGGTGCAATATAACTTTTCCTTGAGCCCTTTTCATTCTTTTCTCTACCAACTCTCAATCCATGCTCACTCTTCAACACTCGTAGCACAACTTCCCATCCCGCAAGCGCTCTTAGTTTCTGATTCTGCGTAGCGGCAAGTCCATTTTGTGATACTGGATTGCGCCAAGGACAATATTCGCGATGTTGGGCGATAGGATCGAGACCAGGAACAATAGCTGGCTCGGTTTCCACACCTGTAGCAGAAATAGATCTACTTTTGAACATCCAGAGACCAAGAATTCGATAACATGTTTGGCATGAGACAGATTCGAGTTGTTGGCCAAGACGATCATGCTTGTGACCTTGCCAACCACAAAGAGACATCATTAAAGCCACTTTATTGATATTGTCCGGAGAGTTGATTTGCCCTGATCCAGGAGATGATTGGAGAAATTCTTGGGGAAGATAGCTTGTAACGCGATCAATATCGAGGCCTTCAGGAGGTGACATATTAGAGAGGTATGGTAGGTGATCGATTCTTTGTTGGAGTTCATCGTAACGTTCGCGAAGGGTTTGTATGGTAACTGCAGGTTTATTGAGGGGTAGCTTGAATATAACATCTGGGGCAGAATTAGTACTGAGCACGTGGAAAGAAACCTTTTAACGTACCATCGCATCCTCTCTGTCTCCATGGACAACTCTCATCATGAGACGCGACAATAAGTTCAACATATTTATCGACCAACGCATTTTCTACTGAGTTAGTTAGCGCTAAATCACTGAGAATCTGCGATGGAAAGAAATCCCCTACCAATGTTTTCCGCGATATAAACTTCCTTCTCTTTCCCATCCTCTTCTTTCTTATTTAATTTAACCAAAATCTCCACATTGCAGAAACAACATCGAACTCTCTCCTTCTTCTGACAAACCCACCCTCTCTTCGCCCATTCCACTTCATTAACCTTTGCTGGTTTTGGCGTCCAGTCCGTTAGATTCGAGAAAGATTTCAATCTTTTGAGAAATTCCCCGCGATCATATGGGGTCCATTTTGGAGGTTCTGCCGGCGACACGGGAGTGGCAGAGAGTTTATGAACGGGTGCCAATCTTTGACGGGCGCTATCAAATTCGGATGGGGCCGCAGATGATGCGCGAGTTAAAGAAGATAGTCGAGTCGCGTTTGAAGATGAATACGAAATTCGTGGCTTCTTCATGTTGGAATCTGTATCATTTTGAGGTTTTTCGGGAGTCTTGTTTACTTCGTGTGCTGATAAGGAGGAATCCGACTTTTTGCTTCCCAAGCCATTCAGGAGGGCGTTGAATTTTCTTTTGGTTGTATTCATTTTCGCGGCTGAGATAGTGACACTGAGTGACACTCTCTTGGTGCCGTAATTTCAGAATGGTGTTGATGAGGAATGTGATGAATGATAATAAATTGAAGGTTCCCTGGTTCCCTGGGTTCCTTTTATTTATTTACGTTACGGCGGTTATTTGGTTGCTGTTCAGTACAAAAAGTAATAAATGACTAGATGAGCTGTGAAGCAAACCCCCCTGCAATCAATAATGAATCAAGTTTATGCTTTACCTACCACTCCTACCTGGGTGCGATGGAAAGACCCAAGGCCCGTGCCGCCCGCAGTAGCTTCAGACTTCCTGCTTGATTACTTGCCTCGAGCTTGCGTATACCGAGTCTCGAATGAGTGTCCCTGGTAGTTGGAAAACCCCACCAAGAAAATTGGGACGACAACAAAGAGATTGAAATACCCCTCGATTCCGCTCCAGATTCCCTTTCACATATCTACAATCAATAAGTTCATGTCCAAGACTTCAATCAAAAATAATCCCTCTTCCAATCACCTTTCACCAAAAAGGATTCTATTCACATCTTTTCTGATTGTCATACTGGCTTTCATTACAAATAAATTTTGGCCCCGGGTTACTCTCATATCTCATCACTTCTCTCCTACACATATCAAACCACTCTCTACAGCTCCGACTTCCAAAATGTCTAACTACAGCAAAGAATTAGAAGTGGCTCAATTGGCCGTTCAAAGAGCAGCTATCTTGACCAAGAAGGTTTTTCATGAAAAATCCAAAGGAACATTATCCAAAGACGACAAATCACCTGTCACAATTGGAGATTTTGGAGCTCAAGCTTTAATCATCCAAGCTATCAAGAAGAACTTCCCCAATGATGAGGTTGTGGGAGAAGAGGAAGCTAGTGATTTGAGAGAAAACTCGAAATTGAGAGATCAGATTTGGGAATTGGTCGAAGCTTCTAAACTTTCGGACCCTGAGGCTGAGAAGGTTTTAGGTGGTCCAGTGGAAAGTGTGGATGCTATGTTGGATGCTATCGATGCTGGAAACAGTGCCGGTGGAGCTAAAGGAAGAATTTGGGCTTTGGATCCTATTGATGGAACAAAGGGATTTTTGAGAGGTGGCCAATATGCCGTTTGTTTAGCATTGATGGTTGATGGAGATGTCAAGGTCGGTGTTCTTGGATGTCCTAACCTTCCAGTTGATGACTCCGCTCCATTATCAGCTGATGCTGGTAAGGACGCATCAGATGATGAAGGAAAGGGTGTTTTATTCTCAGCCGTATTGGGACAAGGTGCTACTAGTCGACCATTGGGTACTGGAGCATTAGCAAAAGGCCAATCTATTCAGATGAAGCCAGTTACGGACTTGACTCAAGCTACCTTCTGTGAGAGTGTTGAAGCCGGTCACTCTTCTCATGGCGATCAACATGCTATTGCTACCAAATTGGGTGTCACCAAAGCTAGTGTTCGTATGGATTCCCAAGCCAAATATGGTTCAATTGCTAGAGGTGCTGGAGATATCTACCTCAGACTTCCTGTTAGCGCGACTTACCAAGAAAAGATCTGGGATCATGCTGCTGGAGACCTTATCGTGAGAGAGGCAGGTGGACAAGTTACTGATTCCGTTGGACGTAGATTGGATTTCAGTAAAGGAAGAACTTTGGCCGAAAACAAGGGTGTTGTTGCAGCTCCAGCGGCCATTCACGGGCATGTTCTAGAAGTAGTCAAGGAAGTTTTGGGGGCCAAGAAATAAATTGTACATATATTTTTATATTCCTCATGAATGACAGCGATGATACTTTCTACACGCTTGTACATCATTGTCACAGATACATCTATGAGATCCAGAAGTGACATTATCTCCTTACTAATGGTCTTGATATTCAACCCCTACTTGATCTTCTTATTCTTCAACTTAATCTCTTCCCCATTAACAAAGATTCCCTTTCCTTTATATGGTTCTGGAACTCTCCACTTTCTAATTTGCGCCGCAAAGAGCAATACAACTTCCTTCTCAGGTCCTTCTAGCAATATACGTGTAGGTTGTGGTGTACTCGCTTTCACGAATCTTGGAACGGGTAATTCAATGGGATGAGAATATCCTACTTTCAAAACGACAAATTGTTGGCCTTCAAATTCGGGAGTTTTGGTGGTAACATTGGAGGCAGGTTCGACTGTAGCACGATATCCAACACCGACAAGGCGGAGAATAGCATTGTGACCTTCAGAGACACCGAGTATATGATTTTGGAGGTAGGCGCGAGTGGTTCCTACGGGGACTTGTTAGCAAACTGCGAGACAAAACATAGATTGGACACAGAGGGAAAATGCTTACCCCACATCGCTCTTTGGTTTTTCACTTCTCTATCCTCCACTCTGACAGTTGCTTTCCGTGTATTCTCATCATGTTCGATTCTAATAAATGGCTCGATTGACATGGACATTTTCCCTAATGGCCCCTCAATTTTGATTACTGGCCTTCCAGCGACCGCAGAGCCTCTCGCCGGCGGAGGTGGTGGTATAACCTTAAATGTTACTTCTGGAGGAATAGACAATACTGCGCTTCCAATGTGAGAGTTTCGACATGTTGATGCGGAAAAGGATCGTGAGGCGATTGGGAATGCGGGGAGGAGGAATGAAGGGATTGATACGGAGGGAGTGGATGTGAGGACCTGGCTTATGCCTTTAGATCGAGCGGTGGACAACATGGTGGGTGGATTGCTGCTGTTTTGTTGCTAGGGTCGCCGTCGATAGAATTTGAGGTCGGATTAAATGTGGTTAGCGGATATTTAATACCACACGTGATCTCGTGGACTTGAGTTATGTTCTCAAGTCTGGAACACCAGATGAAAACGCGTAAATATTGGGGTGATGAAAGATGGTCAATATCCTCAAATTCGATTGAATAGAATGGATGGGTCTTTCTCCAAAGTTATAACTCTTAACACGCGTACCCAAAGATTCCTTGATATTCAAAGGTGAAAAGTATTGAGGTAATCGATCGAACGTCCTCAAATGCATCACAATTACATGTCACTTTAGAAAGGAAGAAAAATCCCCTCCTCAATTCACCCTCTTTTTAATTTGTATAATTCACTTCCTTCAGATCTTTCCATGTCCTGTTTCTGCCTCGACCAAGAAGATAGCGTCTTCTAATTCAGTTTTCTCGATCTCCTCTGTCCTCACCCTTTCTCTTCAACTCTTCTATCTTCAAATCTTTAATAATAACAAGCCTTTCCACGCCAGTGACTTTCTTCCTCCTCGAAGACTTCAACCCATTCTATCTCCATTATCTATTTCTTATTGAATTATCTCCAGCTTCCTTATTTTACGACGTGCAAACCTTAAGAAAGTTCTCCGATCTATCGTTTTCTGATCTTTACCTTGCTTCTGAGACTCGACTCAAATTTACTGCTGGTCTATAACTTTGAACACTCAAAGACCCCCAAAGCAGTATCAAAGTTTCAAGATGCTACTTCTCAAACTCCTTCTCCTTGGAATATGGTTAGTATCAGTATCTGCTTTCGGTTGGAAGTCCAAAGTTGTCGACGATTCTACTCCTGGCCAGCGACAAATTGGAAAGAACCAACACCAAAACACTAAGTCGGAGCTGGTAAATGCTCGATCTCGCAACAATGAATTATACTCCAGTGCAATGCTTGAGTTAAAAAGACTAGAGGAAGAACCGATTTGCCATCGAGTAGCTGCACAGCTTTTAATGAGCAATTGTGAAGGTTTGGAAGACATCAATCAAAAAGAATACGACTTCTATAGTGGACGTGTTCAAAGGCACTATGTGGAAAGCCTTGCTGCAAGCCTTGCTATTTGTGATATGGAACGTAGTAGTATGGTCGTTCCTGATGCTTGCGAGCCTTTCCGACTTCCATCTTTGTTACGTGCTTCGCAAGAAGCAGAAGGGAAATTACAAGTATCACAGAATGAGGTTGGAGCCTGCTTGAAGGGACTTGGTAAAGACCCTTCCCATTGGTTGAGTTGGACTAGTTATCGGGACAATTGTCTTTTGATTTGTCAAGCTGCTCGATCTGACATTGACAAAGGTATGTTGTCAGTCAGTCCACAAGAACTTGCCTAATTATCTTCAGATCAATCTATTCTTCTCCAAAAAAAGCTTGTGGAGATCATGAGTCAATTTGCGGCAGACCTCGAGAACGACCTTGGTGATCTCAAGAAAAATATGGCAGATCATGCCAGAACAGCAGATTCTTATTTTGAAGGAGTCATGATGCAGGCTGAGGCACTCAAGACCAAAGTTGAAGGAGCATTTGAGGTCATTTCATCAGAGGCATTGGTAAGCTCACTATAATCTGCACGATGAGCGGCAAAATTTACTCATATATTTAGGATGTTGCTAGTGCGCTTCGGTCAATACTTGGCAGTACTGGTGATATTCAACGAGCGATGAAGAATGTCGTCGATACTGTTCTTCAAAGCAATGCCGAGATGGCCGCTGCACAAGAACAGGCTCTTGTCGCCACATCTGGAACTGCAAAATCAAAACTGGAAAACATCAACGCATTGGCAGAAAACGCCGAATCATCCTTCGAGAGACTGACTTACGCAATTGTAAGTTACGCGGAACATTCAGATGACATGGCTGATTATATGTAGGATCTCTTGATTCCTGTGATCACATCCATGAGTGATAGACAAGACACATTGGACCAGGTAACATTTTTGGCCAATGATACACAAAATAGAACTGACGTTTACAGAGGTTCGACATACTGAGTAATGTTGTCGTGAACATGACCACCTTGATCCGGGATCACTCGGAAAGTCTTGAACAAGCCAGCTTTACAGCAACTGGTATTCGAGAAAGTCTTGGGAAAGCGGCTGAGGCCGCGAATTCATGGAACGGTATCATGAGTATGGGTGAGCCATTTGTTAATAATGCTCTTCGAATACTTTTACCCCCGGTTACTCTCTTCTTTGGTAGTCATGGTCTTCCGCCATCTTTGTTTCGCAACCTGGGTCTCTTCGTTGGAGGTTTGTTTTTGCGTCCC